TATATATATACTTTTATTATAATTTTCCTATGCAGTTGTTGGTTATGCATCAATTAGTTGTTTACTATTATTTGGGTGGAGTTGTATCAGTGATGTTGTACAGGTCTTCAATTAACAAGGCCCTGGGTTCAATTCCTGTGAGCATATCAGTACTCTGTTCCATTTAAATCATAATAGTTAGTTGCCGAGTTAATGGCGTTTCTGGGAAGTCACACCCCTTCGATATTGTTGCTTAGATCCCACAAAACGACAGCGTATAAACTTGCGTTTTTGTGTACGTGTATATGGCTTTGGGAGGCTAATTTGCATGCATTCTTGACCCCTGTTCTGGTTGGCAGTTGTAAAGTTTGATTGACAATCCATCTCTTCTTCTGGGTGTAAAATAGAAATTTAGAGGTGGTGTTTTTGAAAAAGAGACGGTTAATTTTAAGCGGGCAGGACCCACGTAAACGTAAAACCGAATGGTGTTGACTTCTTTACTTGGGCTTCCTCTGTGGATTTCAATCCAGTTATGATCCTCCATGTGCATGTGGCTATGACCCCTCCATGCTCCTTTAAAAACAGTTTAGCTAGGCATGTCTATAGAATCATAGATACTGATGCACCACCTTCAAAGTCGAATTTTAGGCCATTTACCTTAGGTAATCATTCGCATCGCTTGTCACATGTCGTACCGCGAATGTTGTTCGCGTGTGGTTTTTCTGCTCTGGTCTGGTCACGTCTTGCCGAAACGCAATCAAACATAGCCAAGCACTCACTACACTCAACGTTCGTCGGTCGACGCGATTCTATGGAGAACGCAACTCAACGACGCACACGCAACGGATTGTTTTCAATGATGATCCGTTCAGACTGCCACCAAAAAATCAGCAGACGGCCTCGCACAGGTGGATTCGTCATACGACGGTCGTATGACTGCCGTACGACAGTGGGTGCCCGGCTTTAACACCTTCTGTACAAAGGCAGCAACAACGCCTGACAATAATTTTAACGACTGTAAAGTGGTGCGAGAAAGAACTTAATAATATAATGACGAATGTGTGATTTTAGTCTTTTGTTTTTTAATTTTTACGAAATATTATGTCACCTGCCCATACTTTTTTATTTATTGTGTTAGAAGAATTACAAAGGTAACTTGGTTAGCACTAGTCAACATTGTGCTGCAAATGTTAAAATGTTTAGCCAAATTTTATCAAAACGCTATAACCTAATAAAAGATAATACTGTTCAATTTGGTGTTTACTATATTATTTATTTGTTCAGTAAATTCAAACTTCACAATCATTGTGATGAAATAAAAACTCACTTTGCTAGGCACATGTAAACTGAAGGAATATTTCAGTGGGGATATTAAATAACAAACAACAGTTCTTTTCCGAACTGTCGACGTGGTGACCGCAAGCATTCAATATAATAATTATGTAATGCCATATAAATAAATACAAATTCATTAAAATGTATTTAAAAAGATCAAATAGGTTAATTTAAAAAATATATATATATATAAATGTCGCAATAAAAAAAAATAAAAAAAAAACAAAAAAAAAAACGCTGACTTAAAATCCTCAATTGATTATCTCACAATTATTGGGTCTGCGCAAGGCGTTGACCCCATGTCACAGCCTCACTACTGTTCTTGTTACCAAAACTTTAAAATCGTCCAGCGTCGCCAGTTTTGAACGGATGTGCAGGGAATTTTGTACACATAAACCAGAGGTGTTTTCCAACAAACGTTCATCGCCCTTTTTTAAGTTAGGCCCCAGGGTTCCCCCTACATCTACAAAACAAAACAGGGGTTTTCAGCAACGACTGTACATTACTGCCATCACCACTAAAAAAATTTTTGTTTTTGTTTTTGTTTTGTTTTGTTTTTGTTTTTACAATAAGCTGCTAGACGTTCATACTACAGTAGGAATCTTGACCTACAGTAAGTGGTCTTGCCTGAAGCGGGAATCAAGGATAGTTATGGCGGCCATCTTGAATTTCAAAATGACTACCATCCTAGCTTTTTGAAACTATGTTTATTGTATTCAGAGAGCCCAAAATCATATGATTAGATCCAAATTTACCATTTTCCTTAGAGGATATGTGGAATTATACTGAAATATTATTTTTTTCACCATTTTTAAGGCGGCACTGACCCTAATAACATATAGATTTGCCCTTTTTCATTGGATATAAGTGAAGTTATGAGTCAATATCATAATTTTGAAAATGGCCGCCAAAAAATATGTTCCGCCCTTTTTCTGGAGGTTCTCCCTCGCTCAATTTTCTTATTTATACCCTAGTGATGTTAAATCAGCAGTGAAACCTTGGTCCCAGAAAAATGGTCACGGGGCCCCTGATTTTCACTATACTATGGTGCCAGTTTCGTAGAATCTATCAGCAGATTTCCTGGAAACTCAGTCAAACTATCAATACCTAGGCACAAAATGTAGTCTAGAGCTAATATATTTCATTTGCCCACAATGAAACTTTAAGGGCATCATGTGGGCTAAGTGTCCTAACTGAGGTGTGAATTTTCTAAAAATTGAGATATATACTTTTGTGATATTTTGAGTCAAAGGTCAAGGTCACGTGACTTGTCCTATATAATTCTCACTAGTCCGGACATCATGGAGTTGCATATCATTGGAAAGAGAATCTTCTTCTCTATCCAACGATACCAGAATGTCTCCAATACGTTGAGTTTCAAGAGAGATATCAGCAGTTGTCTGTCAGAAATTGAGTTTTTTAGCCAAATCTTATGAAAATTTCAAATTGCTCATCAAAAAAAGTGTAATAATCGTTAATGAGTGCAAGCTAATATTTAGAACACGTGGGCGTATGGTTACGCATGCGTAGTATGCGTAAGTCGTAAGCAGATAGCTTTTGTTCGCCGCACACGCTATGAATTTGGCACGCGAATTTGATGTTGACGGTCCTATTCTTTACCACTGAACCCATTTTTTACTATTTTTTCTCCGGACTCCGGACCGGAATCCGGGCTTGATGTGAACGTAGCTTTAATCCGAATTTCCGTTCTCGACGGTTCCCCATCCTCTTGCATAAAGTGCCTACTATATACAAAAACACTTCTCCAAATTTAGACAGTTTGGCTAAGAACGTGATTAATCTCTCTCTTTCTGCAGACGCCATAACTGTGGGATTCGGTAAGGGCATCTTCTATGAAATATAAATATCAGAATTATAGTACGTATTTTTTTTCATCGTACACTCTACTCATACTTCCCACCACCGTCATGGATCTGGCATGCATGCGGGAACCCCAAGGGGTCCCCAGCAATGGCGACACTAATAGAGCGCCCTTTTGTAATTGGATTTCTCAATACTTCTTGAACTATACACAAGCATTTTGAAATAATGATATAATAACGATACACTGGAGATGTTTATGATGCTGATGATGATGGTAATAATAGTAACAAAATTAACAGTGGGAGTAGGACTAACATTCGCAGCAGGCACAGCTACCGTCGCCGTGCGAGACTGTCAATAACAATAGCAATATCAATAAAAATGGCAGTACGACTTCATGACATCGACGGTATTACTTGTTAATTGTGGTCTAGCTGTCCTGTCGTCACTGACCTCAGTTGACATATTAGGCCTATATTACCTAGGGAGACCGTTATAATGTAGGCCTAAAGTAGAAACAAGAAATATTTCCTATAAAAAAAAAACGCCGCAACCTGTATATATTTATCTTATGTGTAAATGTTGTTAGCTGTTTCAATAAATAAATCTGTAACTGTATTTTCCTATAGATCAATAAATGTATAGCCATATGCTTATTTATTGTTAAGAACAGGCCGAATTTGTTACTGCAATATGCACAATACTGTATATGAATTAAAGATTATTTTTAAAATAATAAAATGATAAAAACGAATATGGAATTATCAAAGGGTGGGTCATCTAAGATTCTTCGTGCGGCTGGGTTGGTCTGGGTTGTAATCCCATATGGTAGATTAATAATAAGCTGTCACCTAGACTCTCAAGGCTCGACCACGTTGGTAACCTTCTGAGGCTTCATCATCAGCTCGGTCCACTGGTGGACAAATGTTTCAGGATATCGACGCCAAATCAATTTTCTCTTGCTGTGTTGCACCATTTCACTCTTCCCCAATAAATATCGATCTCATCTCTTAATCTTTTACCTAGAGAGCAGCTTAGCTCAGTCGGCTAATCTGGTGGTAGCCACTGTGTGTGCGCTGAACCGTGGAGATCTCTAGGTCCCCGGTTCAATTCCCATCGCTGCCTCTCCTTGTGCTTCAGCTAGAGGGCTGAAATACAAGTTACATAGCGCACCGTCTTTCGGATGAGACATTTAAGCCGTTGGTCCTGTGTGTATTTATGGCCCATGTGCACGTTAAAGAACACAGTACACTCTTCGGAAAAGAGGGGATTGTCTCCCGGTGTGCTGTCTAATCACCACCAGAAGGACCCCACTGGAAATAAGTCTTCTTCTAGACTTTCGTGGGCTATCCTTGGTGTTTACACCGAATAAATCCAATCCAATCCAATCCAATACCTTGTTTTCCCTTGTTCGTTTTGCCATCCATTGGGGTCTGTTACTGTTCGTGTTTGTTTGTACTCCTGCTGACTACAAGTTCAACAACCAGAATGAAAACCACCGAGCCACACCGCATTTTTACCATTATTGTTATTAATATTAATAATAATAACACTAATATTAA